GACTTATTTTTCTCTAACAAATAGGTCGTCTACTCCTCTGATTGCCATATATTGAGGTGAGGGAACAACGAGATACTTTGGGAATGAAGATGCGAGAAAACATATTTATGGAGGAGAAAGTGTTGCATGGACTTCCACAATGCCAAGTAATTCTCAATCGTATTATTATCGTGATGATGGCAATAAGAAAGAGTCCGAGTCAAATTATTTTATGAGTATTCACTCAAATTACCTTCCTTTGAGAAATGGATTGACCTTCGTGAAGCCTTATATCCCTCATCGCTTGAGTCGTCAATTCGGTTTTTATCAAGACATCCCCGGTTGCTTGGATCAAGATTTTTGTGAGGACTCTTTATAAGAAGGATTGGAATTTTTACGAATTTGTGTGTTGTCTAAAAGTAGGTCAAAGGCCACTTTTCCTCCTATTATGCCCAAGATGAAGAAGTATGTCTCATCTGATTATTAGTCTTGGTGGGAAAGAGTCCATGAAAACTTTCTTGAAAATCACTTGCAATCTTTGGTGAATACCGTTAGGCCAGTTACTGCTACGCCTTTAGAGATCACGCCTTAATAGCATAACAGGGAGGACAAACCTCCTACTTTAAAATCCAAAGTGGTTGTACCATACGACATCAAGGGTCCTCCATATAAAGAAGTTTAAAAAAAAAGGGACATGTTCATGCTCATCAAGTCAACGAGGGTTCCTTTCCATTAGGCACCGTTGTTCCTACCTCCAAAAAATGCCCATCCTAAAATGAGAGTGATAGTAGTCATGAAGATCAAAACTTCAAGCGGATGAAGCCATATTCAAACAAATAAGGAGACGCTGATTTGGGTGTAGTCGAGATTACTGACAGCATTGGCAGTGCTTCAAGGACTTTGACGGCTATTAAAGAGGTAATGATTAAAACTTTCATATTATCTTATAATATCCAAGTAACTTCACTAACCGTCTATATTTTTCTATGCAGCCAAACAGTGTTCATATTTTGATAGCGTCACAACAAAGCAAGCAACAAGGCAGTAATGAATCTGTGGCGGAGCCAGACTTGAGGAAATCACTTCCAATATCTAAGTCATACCTAGAGGCGACTTCCATTCCTAATCTTGGAGCAAAGCTGGGGCCTAATTTTCACCAACGATCAGCACCAACGATGTCTATCTTTTACAGAAAAAAGGTTATCTTGACTCTTTGCAAGAATTTCATTTTGAATGCCTGGGCTAAAATTCATGCCAAACTCTCCGACCTTACTAAAAACAGTGCTTCTTCTCTTCAATTCAAGATCCAAGTGATTCTCGAGGAGATGGATGGAAAGGGTGTGGATATTTCCCCTCTAAAAGACCTATTGACATCTTTCTTCACTTTATATGACCGGGAACGATCAACTCTTTCTGATAAGGTTGTGGACGTTGAAAAATCAGAATCATTTTTAAAAGCCAAGGAACATCTTGATCTTGTCTTGACTGAGAAAGGGGAGAAGGTCGAGAAATTGTCTACCACCAGTCAGTCTCTCAAAGAGGCCAATGAGAAGGTAAAATAGTTAAGAGCTCTCTGAGATGCTGCCAAGAAAGAGGTTGAAGAGATTGAATCTAGAGTCTCATCTGCTGAAGAGGAGTACCGTAGATGTTCTGATGTTTCCTTGGCGACTGCTGATGACTTGGCCGACGTGGAGACGAAGAAACAACACTTAGAGGCCACCCTTAAAGACTTAGTCAATTACAAGTTATGTTTAGATTAGCCTATACAGAGTATTTTATTTGCCTCTTTTTTTTCTTGCATTTGATTAACTAGCTGATATTCTAAGAAATGAAAACTCTATCTGTTTTACTTTATATCACACATTTTCATTGATGTCTTTTTTTTCTTTGCGTTTCAATATCAATAGTTATTTGCTTAGCATGACGTATTGACGTCCACATAATAGAACTTGGCTTTCTTTTAAACATCTTTGCCATTCATGTCTCGAAGTTCTCTACATTAGAGATACTTCCTCCTTTTTCTTTGAGGATAATATTGTTCATCACTTTTGCACCTTTTGTGGTAGGAAATATTTATCTCGATTGTGAGAACTTAAAAATATGAGCCATTTAATTTCTCAAAATCAAACTGTAAAATCTAAGAAATATCCAAAATTCGTAATCAAACACCTTCAGAATCGCCCCAAATAATATTTCGAATCTAACTTTAGATTCCATCGCGTTGACAATTTTAGATTTGTGTAGTCTCACCAAAAAAATCATATCTTGGCGTGAAAACATCAAAATTATAAACCGTTTAATTTTTAAAAAACTAGACTTCAAAATCTAGAACATATCCAAAATTTCCAATCAAACACCTTCAGAATCGTCTCAGATAATATTTTGAAATCAACTTCCAATTCCGACACATTGGCAATTTTAGATTTACGCAACTTCATCAAAACAATTTATATCTTGGTGTAAAAATGTCAAAATTAAGAACCGTTTGATTTATTGAAAACTAGACATCAAAATCTAGAATATATCCAAAATTCTCAATAAAAAACCTTTAGAATTATCCCAGATAATATTTTGAAATCAACTTCAAATTCTGATATACTGATAGTTTCACATTTGTGCATCTTTACCAAAAAATTATATCTTGATGTAGAAATGTCGAAATCACAAACTGCTTGATTTTTTGGAAACTAAACTTCAAAATCTAAGACATATCCAAAATTTGAAAACAAACACCTTCATAATCGTCTTAGATGATATTTTGAAATTAACTTTAGATTCCAACATGTTGACCGTTTCACATTTGTGCATCTTCACCAAAGAATTTGTACCTTAGTGTAGGAACATCAAAATCATGAACCGTTTGATATTTTGGAAATAAAACTTCAAAATCTAAACCATATCCAAAATATAAAATTTAATACCTTAAGGATAGTTTCAGATAATATTTCGAAGTTAATATAAAATTCCGACACGCTGACGATTTTACACTTATGCGACTTCACCAAAAATTTTATATCTTGAGGTAGGAACGTCAAAATAACAAACCGTTTGATTTCTTGGAAACAAGACTTAAAAATCTAAAATATTTCTAAAACGTAGGATTTATTACCTTAAAAATAGTTTTAGATAGTATTTCAAAATCAATATCAGATTTTGATATACTGACAGTTCCAAATTGGTACGACTTCGCCAAAACTTTTGTGTTTTGGTATGGAAGCCTCGAGATCACAAGATATTTTGCTTTCTATCAATCGAAATTCAAGATCTCCATTCTCACCAAATATCTTGGGTTCAAGTCTCACTGAATTTGAAACATTGTGCCTAGCAATCTTCCTTCTTATACTTGTGTTCCCTTTTGACACCTCTCTTCTCTTCCTCTTTTTTTTTTTAGGGCAAAGAGCGGATATGAAGACCAACAAACTTTAAGGTTATGCGAACATGAAGTCATAGCGAATCCCCAGACTTCAATGCAAATACTTTGTAGCCGCCTAAACTACTATAACCATTTCATTGAATACACCAATTTACCATAGCGACTTGCCCCCTTTAAATCAAATGGGATCCAAAGTTTAACAGAAGAATGGTATCTCAGCTCGATTTTCAAGTGTTGATTGAATGGATTACATTCCATCGTACTTCATTCGAACAACGATTGGGGCACAATGTATGCATCAAGAAAATAATCGAGACCGAAAATTATTGCAACAATCGTAGTATTTTATTTTTAACAATATAAGTGTTACCTGATTCTTCTTTCCAACAGTAAATACAAGAGCCTTCGGACTTAATCTTGAATTTTATTTTATTTTAATCCAAGTCTTGAAGCTTGATCTTGACATATTTTTAATCCAAGGACTTGCAGCTTGTTCTTGAATCTTCATCTCGATCTTTTAATTCTTAGAACACTTGCTTGCTTGTAGCTTTTAGAGAAATCTATAGTGTGTGATCCACGAGCTCTCTCTTGCTTCTTGTTATAACTTCTGGTCCTTTCTGAGTTATGATGACCTCTATTTATAGTTGTGGGAGGGAAGAATTGTGATAAGAACAAACTCTTTCTGACCAATTAGATTGAAGAGTGACAAGGCCGCATTTGATTGGCTAGAAGACGTGATTTTATTGGCCTTTTAATTGGACTTGGCATGCCTTGTCACTTTGACACGTGGCACGATCCTATTGTCTCTTCCGTTTGACTTGGCATGCCATGTCATTTGACACGTGGCACCAAACTAGGCTTCTAGGAAGATGACATACGAGGCTCATTGAAATGGGCTCATCGTATATAGTCCAACTAAATTGGCTAGCTCAATGCATTATGACTTATTTATTAAATCCATATATATTGGACTTGTCAGCAAAGTATCCGATTCTAACCTCCTATGGCCTATGCCAAAGTCAATATTAATTCCTGTTTGATCGTTGGAAGTTTTGTTGACTACGAGACCCCATATACAATTTGAATAATGGTCAACTTTTTAACTCATTGACCAGGTCAGCAATCCTTTGATTTCGTTACGAAAGTAAGTCCCACCACCAATATGGAGTTGGTCCAAACCGATCCACACGAAATAAATAAATAATGGATGGACAAATAGCAGCTAACACGCGAAAAAAACAAGACACGTTTTAGCATTATATAGTATTTCCTTAATAAATTAACCTTCAGTTAATAATCTTTTAAGGTCCAAAATAGAAAAGAAAAAATTTACTATGTCTTTATATTTGAAAAATAAATAATTTTAAACTTCTTATTGTACTCTTAATAAATTCATTTTATAGTTACAACTTACAACTTACACATATTTAAAAAATTTACTTTTAAAAAAAAATCCTTTTTCCTTAAAATTATAGATATCATGTTTGCAATAATAGAAATCTAGTAACACGTGTTGATAGGAGAGTGCTAGTTTCGAAGTTCCTTCACCGATCCGCCAGCCTTCTAAGTCCAAGACTTGCGAACCAATTCAACGAATTATATTTGGGAACAATAATGGAAACTTCCTTCTCCTCAATTCACTTGATTCCAGATGTTTCCAATTTTACTTGGGAAAGGGATTCCAATTTTTAACCTCCTCCCCCTTATAAATACACCTCCTTCTCCAATTTCTTTTCTTCGTAAACAAGTTTTAGCATCGCTTGCACTTCTTACGATAAACCAATCAGCAAAGCAATAAGTACTTTAATTTCTTGTGTTATTTTTTTTTCCTGAATTAGAAGAAAAAAATAATGATGTCAATATTCAGTTCTTTTGACGTTCTCTCTGCTGAGATATTTGGCCTTAAGGTGAACCGCTCTTGGGCACCCAATACTGAGAGGAAACAACAAGAACAAGGGGTTTCGCCTCTTGTATCCGATCGCAAGAACGAGGCTTCTCCGCCGTCAACCTCTTCAACCGGTGGACTGAAGAAGGCCGGAGAGGCGGCGACGCCGTCATCTTCGCGACCACAGCAACAAAAGAGGCCGAGGTTTGCGCTGGAATTGGACGGCGTTCACTGTTTCGAAACAATCCTTCCCTATTGATTTTTTGCATAAATTCCGAAAGTGAAATTCTTTATTCTTGTCTCGCTGTAATTAACCTGGCCATGTTATTCATGTAACCGTAAATTCCGAAGGTTGATACAATTTGTTAAATCTGATATTCTTTAATTTGATTTACTTGTTTGAACTACTTTATTTCATATTTTTAACGTCTGTTTATCTTTTTCCCGATCAAATACAGTTAAAGAACCACTTCAACGACTAATGAATTCAGAACTAGTATTGAAATATAAAATTAAGACTGTTAGAAAAGTGCAGGAAATTTTAGTGCAATTCAAACTAATTAATCATGGCAACTAATATTGACGTTTATGATTTGGTAAAAGCTGGCACTTTCTTTTAATTGGATTTCGCTTAAACTTAGAACATAAAGGTAATAGATTATTTGGGAAAATTTTGTAAACTGGACGTTAATTAAATATGTTATGTGCCACAAATTATTTGTCTTCGTAAAGAATTCTTTATTAAAATCTGAACAATTCAAGAAATTATGTTTTTCTCTATGATCCAAGAAATAATACCAGTATATAATAATAAGTTCACGGATGTATTGACAGTTATATTTATTAAGTAAAACATCTGTTTGGAAAAAGTTTGTTCAATTACAAGAGAACAAATAAGCAATGTAATGCATCGTATTCTCATATTTATAATGTTACACCTCTTAAAATAATGTTTAATAGCATTAATCATGGAAGTATTTATCTTAATTATCCTTTATTCAATAAAATCATTTAATCAATACTTCACTAATTGGAACAGTACTAGCTAAAAAGAAAGTAACAAAAAACTTTTTGTTTTCCTGAAGTATCAAATATTTAAAATAAATTAAATTTCATGGGGATGCGGTTTGTCTTGTACGCAAAAGTTACTTACAAAATGGGGAAATTCTTTTTCTTTCTCTGGAGTCGTTCGACTCTTGTGATTATCATTTGGATCTCGAAATACGCTTCAATCCTTCATCTGCTCAATTATCTTTTTGTTGGCGTTATACAAACTAACGATAGCCTATTGATTTTTGAGTAGAGAAGCTCAATCGTAAGTAGCAAATTACTTTTGCGTTTGGATCTTTTTCTGCTAAACTTTCCAAGGATCAGAATAAGAGTTTTTTGTTACGTGGAGTATTTAACATAACTAACAATTCTTCAAGGAAAAAGATGAAAATTTTCGAGAAAATGACCCTACGTACCCCTTCAAAATTTTAATACCACATATTTTTCTCCATTGACACGAAATATCCCTCCGGCTCAAACATATTACATCTAATAACCTGAAATGTCTATTTAGTATATATATTTTGTATAGTGACAGTTTATTTTGTATATATTTTATACATTGACGGTCTATTTAATATATGTTTTGTATAGTGACAGTCTATTTAGTATATACATTGCATAAAATTTGTATATAGAGTATATCGTGCATCTTGCAATGTATCCATAATGTATCATTAATGTATCTCGAGCGCTTTTGTGTATCCAAAGTGTATAGCCTGTTAAGTGTATAGACTGTTCTATGTATCCTTAATGTATCATTAATGTATCGCGAACGCTATTATCCAAAAAAAAAACTCATGACATATTTAATACAACAAGTTTTGAATATACTTCTTTCTTTATTAAACTTCGTGTTAAAATAGTTTAAATAAAACGCAGAGAGTATAAAGCATTTTCCCTTGTTATTCTGGTCTACAATACATTATGCTTTGAGTCCTTGGCCATCAACTCGAAAAAGACAGAAACTTCGTGGGTAGCATCAACGAAAATTAATTAATTACAAGTACTTTCCGTATATAAAGCCTTCATTCAAAGTGAAGAACACATAATATTTTCTGCTCTTAAACTTGCTTCTTATTAGCTTTAGCGCGGTACATAATCAAAAATCAAACATGATGAAGTTAGAACAAAAATTAATTATGGCCAAGTCACATGTTTTCTACGAGTATATATACTTTCAAATAAAAGGAAAAGATATGGAACATGTTATCCTTGTAGCTTGGAACAAAAAATAAAAGAACAACTCAAATAAAAGACAAAATAAATTGGATATAGTAGTACAAAGAAGATAGAATTCAAGCTACATAAATGAGCAGGTGTTATTTTTGAAGTATGCAAGTGCTAGAAGACCAATTTAGGCTAGCCATTATAATTTATTTGGGGCTATAAATTGTATGGCTTAATTCATGGCTAGCGAATGATAATTATTTCCACCGGCCGGCTACAAATAAAATTTGTTCAAAATTTCCATATAACTTTGATCCGTTTCTAACAAGGACCCTGTAACTTGTGTGGATGGTTGTTACCTTATATTGTTACTTTAAATAAAATATTTATTTTGGTTGTTACTATTATTGTATCGTATCGTTAAATACGTCGTTAAGTAAGGACAAAAAGTGTCACTTTATGGAACGACCAGTTTGATGTGGTCGCGTCGTTTCCTTAGTTTTTTTCTCTCATCTTGGCCTTCCTTATTATTAAATAATCATATTTAATCCTTTATCTTATCTTTTTATATAATAATTTTACCTTGCACCTTATTTTTTAAAATAATATTGTAAGTTTATTCTTCACATTGTTGATGTATGACATCATGAAACGATGACAAACAATACAATCTATCCAAATATTATATACATCAGAACAATACGATATAATACAATACAATAAAATACGATACATTATGAAATGATACATAACAACCATCCAAACAAGCTGAGTAAAAAGGGAGCTAATACAAAAGCGGACAAACTTATCTAAACGCAACCAGATCTAAGCACACAGTAAATCTAATGTGTTAGTTACGCAATTTGCATCTGTAATATCATCAACTTCTGAAAATATTTGGATTTACTTGCTGTAATCTTAATGGGATAGGGTCATTAAACATTTGATTATTTGAAAGATACTCAGTCCTGCTCACTTTTTATTATATTATCTATCCTTTCGACTTAGCAGAATCCGAACTTTGAACTCTCACACTTCAAACAAGTGAAGAAATTTAACAGTTACACCAACTTTACTAGAAAAAGATACAAAGTAAACAAAAAATTAAAAGCCACAAAAGAGAATATGCTGTAGTATTCGTCTAGTGCACGTTTATGTAATTCCACTAGTATTTATTTTATACTCTTCTTGGAGTTGAAATTACGATGTGATTATCATGTATCACTTGGTTTGCTTTGGGCACTAAATTCCTTACTTTTCTTGTCTGTCAGGGCAACTAATATTCCTTACCTTTGGCTTTTATTCCTATTGTCTGGTGGCTTATGGAAATGCAGGAAGGCTATTTCCTACCGTATAGCATGAACAGTACATTCATATGGTAAAAGATCTTCTTGGCAATCTTTGTAGTGGTTAAGAATAAGGCCTAGAACAAAACAGATGATAACATCTGTATGCCGCGCTTATATTGTTCAATAACACTCTGCTTGTATTACATGTAACAATCATTGCTTAATTGTATCGATCACTAACACTATGCTAAAAGGAAAAGAAATAGGTTATGTACAACAGAAACATGGTATAAATGAGATTATCAGTCATGTCCTTGGACTTGCTCTTCTTCCTATATTTCCAAACCTTTTCACTGCATTAAGCAAAAGTGCCTTGGGTATGATTCCTCGGTCAAGGGTACAAGCAACAACCAATGCGCCACCAATGATAAGTAGCTTTGGTATGTTTATGCCCTCGGATTTTGCAGGTGAAACCTGTACTTCAGTCCCTGACGATTCTTCCACATCACCTTCCATCGACTTCAAGTATTCTGGATCAATTTTCGTATTAACTTGGGCCATAAAAGCACAGCGAGAGATTTTCATGTTGGATGCTCTTGATTTCTGGTAGGACAGGAGTCCACGCTCAATCTTCCTTACAAGTCCCCACATACCCTGCCTTACCCCAAATTTCGCGATTTCCCATGGGATGCCCATATCTTCGTAATGGAAGAGAAGCACCTCGCATGCAGTCAGCTGGCCATTTCCTCTCCTTGATTCCACTGTTTCATGCACCACAATGGATTTCAGAGTCGTAAAATGACAAATGAGATCAGAGGATCATGACCTTTAACAGGTCAACTCTAGTTAGCGATACTTGCAAAGAAGTTGAAAAGAAATTGCAGGAAACACATGTAATATCACTGCATTGTTTACAAACTGAACAATATGGTGTCAGCCAATTTACCAGTCCAATTAGAAGTTGCATGTTTTGTATTCATATATGCAGGGTAATTGGGAAAGCAAAAGCATGAAACGTTATTCTCCCATACTGGAAAAGAAGGAAGTGGAAATAGGAAAATAAGACGGTCATACCTGCTTGAATGTACCAACTTGAATAATACAGGTCAACACGTCTTGGTTTATCCTTCCTGGGAACAGTAGGACATGGAACTCCCTGGTTAACAACAGAAGAAAAATCATAATTAGATGGGGACCTCCAAGTATAGAAAATTCAGCACAGCGTTAAATGTAAGAGGATCACTATACAAAGCTTGTGACAATTCATTCATTCTCTCTATAGTTTTTGCGGGGTGAGGTGGCGTCGAGGGGAAGGATGAAACATGTTTTGTGGCACTTTGGCAGAGAGAGTTGAGGCCACCATAACGTAGGAATGTCAAAGGTCTTTCAAGAAGTTCTAAACACTAACATAGAAGGAAAATATCTTTGATATTTCAGGTCTCTCCTGCTCTGCCCCATCCACCATTTCTCAAATCAAAGTCCAAAGAAGGATCTCGTGGAAGTTAGAAAATCCCGGCAAGTTAACTGCTGACAACTACACTCTTCACAGAACTATTTTGTTAATAATCGCCTTGAGTCTCAATGACACAATAGGTATGATCTTACAACTAGATAACCGGACAGTTGCAGTGCCTAGAGAAATAGGAAGTTTCAGCAAGAGATAATATCCACTGTACAGCTACCTCCTCTGAGGTTTCTGACCGACTCAAAGTTGCATAGTGGACTCTGCACCTAATGATATCAGACAACAGTTCTAACTAACATATTCATACATTTCATAGGTCCTAGAGGCACGCTTCATTAATAGAAGAAACTCAAGTAAACAGCACGCTAGCTGTTTCTATAATCTTTTATGACTTGGATTACAATTACGGGAAGAGGCAGT